TCCTGTCTATTTGTCCCTTCTCCATGCCCTCTAATGCAGATATTCTCCAATGCTTTGTCCTGGGTCTTTTTCTTTTTTTTCTCTCTATACTCTTGCTCCTGGGGACCTCATCAGCTCCCACGAGTTTAATTATTAACTCTGTGCAGAATACTGACTGATCTATATATTTATTCCTTGTCTCCCCTGAGTTTCAGAACTGTTGTCACCAACTGGATATCTTGGAGACATTTCAAACTCAACATGTCCAAAATGGAATTTATGATCCTTCCCCCAAAACCTACGCTTTCCTATTTCTGTCTAAGACCTAGTAATTATTCTAATCTTCTGGGGTCATAATCTCAGCATTACTCTTACCTCCTCACTCTCCGTCATTCCACATATCCCCTCAGTTGCCAAATCTTGTTCTTTCTACCTTCACATCTCTTGCATCTGACCCTCTCTATTCATACAGCCCAGCCTGAGTTGAGGTCCTCTAAAGTGAGTATTAATAGCCTAAATTAAAGCAATAGTCTTCTTACTAGTCTCCCTGTCCTAAGTCTCTCCCCACTCTAGTCCAGCCTCCACCCTGATTCTAAAAGTTATTTTTCTTAAGATGAGATCTGATCATGTCACTCGCCTACTCAATTAACTTCAATGGCTCTCTACTGTTTCCAAGCCAAAATATAAATTCCTTTGTTTGCTATTAAAAGCCCTTCACAACCTGGCCCCAACCAATCTTTCCAGAACAGGAAAAGCATGAGGTATTTTTGGGCCAGTAATCCAATTTGCCTAAAGTAAAGGATATTTTTAAAAAAAAAAACAACTTAAAATAGGCTTAGAAATATAGGGCTGGGGAGTTAACTGGACAATGGCTAAGCACCAATCTACTCATTATTTGGTAGTCAAAATGGAATCACTTTCCATTTGAGTGGGGAAAGGGCCATGATCAAATCTGTATATTAGAAAAAATTATCTGTCAGTAGTGGAAAGAATGAGGTGAGCAGTGTTGACTAGGTCTAGGGAAGTAGGTTAAGAGGGCACTAAAATATAAGCCAGGCTAGAAGTAATATGGCTTGAACTAAAATTGTCATGTTGGTAATGTATAAAGGTAGTCAGATGGAAAGAAGGAACAGATCCAAAGGATATAGTGGAGGTAACTATTTGACTACATATTGGATTCAGGGACAAGGGAGAGGAAAGAGTCAGAGGTGACTGAAATTTCAAGAACCTGGGTTACTGGGGAAACGATATTGCCAATTAACAGAACTAGTAATGTTAAGAGGAGAAGCTAGTTTCAAAGTGACCTTAAAGCAAAGACTGGATGACCACTTAAGGAGTGATGTTGTAATGGGAGCCTTTTTCCAGTATGGGTTGGACTAGATGGCTCTGAGTTTCCTTTAGACTCTGAAATTCTGTGAATTAGGTTTGTAATGTGTCTATAAGACATACAGTGGATTTAGGCAGTGGCATAGCCAGGGTTTTCTGTAACTAGGATGAACATGTCACAGAGTAATAGTATAAACTGAAAGCTGCTGCAAGAAGGGCAAGAAGATGGCGCTACTAGTCAAGTCTCGCGAATAGTCGAGGAGCAAGGAGCAAGACTTCAGAATCCTAAAGAGCTGGTTCTGAACTCTGACTTTGCCATTTGCCATTTCCTAGCTGGGCAAATTGCTTAAACTCTCTGTACTCTGTAGCTAGCTACTCTGCGGTTTCTCACCTTGTAGTTCTCAGCTTCAGGAGCAAAGAAAGCATTTTCTCCTAGCACCTTACAAGTTGTTCTCTAGCTCTATTTTCATGGTGGCCCATGGTGGCCTTCTGCAGGTTGCATCCTGTCTTCCACCTGCATTAACATTATCTTCTGGATCTGGGGACTAGAACCGCACTTGCCTCTTTCCCATTTGCCTGTCAGTGTCCGGGTCTCACAGCTGGGCCTGGTTAAAGAGAAATTATGGGGAGGGGGGGTGGAGGGTACTTAGGAGAGAAGCCAGGAACGCCCAGTCTGGTGATTTGTAATCCCTGTTAAACGAGTAATTATTTTGCACCTATGCAGGGACATGAACACAGCTGCACAAGAGTCCTTGTTTTTGGTTTCAATGTATTTTTAAAATGCCTCTTCAAATGTAGCTTGGAATTATAAGGCCAAAATCTGATCCTGCTGGAGATAGTTGCTAAGGAGATCATTGTCTTCAAATCATCTGGTAGACATCTGGTACCTACATACCCCACACACACACACCAGGAGATCCGTGCTAAGGGGGAAAAAAAGCTCCTTTGAGAAGGGAAAATTTTCTTGTGGGAAAAGTGAGTCACAGAAATTTCCACCTGCAGATACATTTCAACATGATCTGATTCAAAAGAGCAGTTTCATTCTAGAATTAAAGCCCATAACAATCCAAAGACTTTCTCAATAGTGGAAATAAAGCCAGTAGAAAAAGAAAAGCTTGCTGGGCAGTTAGAACAGCCCTCTGAGATAGATAGCAGATTTCATATTACTCCTCCTCCAGGGAATTACATCACTATCTATAGAGAATGCCCTATTTTTCTTGGACAAATTATATTTGTATTGCCTTTAACACACTCTCTTCTTCTGACCAAAGACATTTCCAGTTTAATTGGGACTATAGTAGAATGTAGTAGAATCAGGGAGCCTATAGATCTAGAACCTATCTTTGGATTTAGTTTAAAAAAAAATCCAGGGGGTTGCCTGAAGCACCTAGAGATGAAATGACTTGCCTAAGGTAACAGTGTCAAGAGAGGGGATCTCAACCTAGGTCTTCCTGACTCTAAGACCAGCATTTCAGTTCATAAAAATGAAGTTAATAATATTACTTGGGGGCAACCTATCTCAGAGGATTGTTTTAACAACTGAAAGTTGTACAAGATTTTACTTGAACTAAGACTTTCTTTTTTAAAAACTTATTTATAGTTTTCAACATTCACTTTTATAAGATTTTGAGTTTTAAATTTTATCCCCCTCTTTCCTCTACTCCCTCACCAAGATGGTGTGCAATCTGATATAGGCCATACATGTACAATCATATTAAACATATTTCCACATTAGTCATGTTGTAAAGATGAATTAGGATCAAAGGCAAAAACCACAAGAAAGAAAAAAAAAAGGAAAAATAGTATGCTTCGATTTGCATTCAAATTCCACAGTTCTTTATCTGGATATGGATAGCATTTTCTATCAGGAGTCTTTCCAAAATGTCTTTGATCATAGTATTGCTGAGAAAAGTTGTCTATCAAAGTTGATCATGGCATAATTTTGCTCTTATTATATACAATGTTTTCCTGGTTCTGCTCACTTCACTCAGCATCAGTATGTCTTTCCAGGTTTTTCTGAAATCTGCCTGCTCATCATTTCTTATAGAACAATAGTATTTCATTACATTCATATACCACAACTTGTTCAGCCATTCCCCAATTGATTGGCATCCCCTCAATTTCCAATTCTTGGCCACCACAAAAAAAGCTGCTATAAATATTTTTGTACATATGGGTCCTTTTCCCTTTGTTATGATCTCTTTGGGATACAGACCTAATATTGGTATTGCTGGATCAAAGGGTGTGTGCAGTTTTATAGCCTTTTGGGAGTATGAACTAAAACTTTCTGGGCACAAGTATATCAGGAGTTCTTAATCTGGAATCCATGAACTTTTTTTTAAATAGCTGTTTCTTTATAATTGGTTTTCTTAGTGACTGTATGTATTTAATTTTATGCACCTAAAATATTAATATGAGGAGTCCAGCAGCTTAAACAATCAAAGGGGCGTTAAGGGATACAGGCTCTGGAAACCCCTACCCTGAACTCCTGGAATGTTCCCACTTGCTCAAGAAAGTCTCTAGAGTTTGCCTGAAGCTATAATCCACTCAACTGGCCTTTTTTGTGGCTATATCCAGTCTCTCAATTCTGTTACTTCTAACCCAGCTCAACCTTCATTGTCTGTTGCCTGGCCCTATTGCCCTGGCCACTTTCTACCTTTGACCCTATCTAGACCCCATTCTACCACCCAGTCATTCCCATCAAGATCCTCCCTAGACCCCTTCTCCTAGACCCCTCCTCCAACTACTTGGCCACTTCTAGCTCCCTCCCACAGTCTTTCTGTATATAAGATCCATCTTGTCTCCATTAAGGTGCTCAGATTCTTAAACTCTAGCCAATCATGATCGCTGGTAGATACCAGTGTCATAAACATTCAGATTTTTTAAGAGTCTGGTCAATATGGCAAATCTTTAATAAACCTTGTCTTTGGCTCAAAGGAGGTTTGGATCGTAATCATTCAGGCAGGACCCATCTTCGAGGTCCCATCACCCCTAAACCTCTAAACCTCAACAGGGCTCATGACACCCACAAAAGAACCCCTGATCTATATACATGCAAGCTATATTTACTTGCACCCTGGGCCAAAATAGAACATTTTGGGACGGATTTTTCTAGGAGACTTGAGTTCATTAAAAAGAGAGGGGGGGGGACTTGCAAAGTAGTAGGGTGGTGGAATACAGAGTGGAGGTGATCTGGAGAAGGTTCAGCATTGAAAGGCATCAGAAAAAAAGGAGACATTCTTGTTTCCAATCTCTCTGCTTCCTGACACAAAGATACACAGAGTAGTGATAATCATTTAAGATCAATTGAGCCCCAATAAGGGCCAAAAACCTGAATTAATCTTTCCTTCCTGAGTTAAGAATGCCTCTTCCTGTGTCAACAGCTAAAGCTGACCAAGAGCATTCTTATGTTTATAACCACTGTGGCGCCTATAACCCAGACACTGCCTTGATGGGGGTAAAGGAAATATAGATATCCTGGATCTGACATTTGCCTATCTTATTTAAATTTCCTTTCTCATGCTCTGGTTAAACATATGGAGACCATAAAACTGAGTAACACAGACATCCTGAGTCAAGATTTAAATGTCCTCCAAAACTTGCCTGGTGCAGTCAAGAGTTAAAGCTCTGCCTCCATGTAACATGTTACATGCTGCTAACTTAAGGGAACAAAACAATATGAATTTACTCATCACCTAGCTTGTTGTCTCTTTAACCAACTTTCAGGTCGACAGTAGCAAGGGCGACGGATGGTTCGTATCCTGGGGGCTTTGCCCTGAAGAGGGAACAATACAATTGAGCTCCAGGAAGATGCTGAAGTGAAGAGGGGGCTGTAGGAGTCTCGGAAAGCCTAAAGTCACTACCATTGAGTTGTAAACCCCTGAAGCTTTCCAGGCCCCGGGAGTCCTAGCCCCAGTTCCGGTTTCGTTCCTGTAATCTTTTTTCCGGCCTTGGCTCCAGCCAGCCAGAGACGATATTTCTCCACCCACCACCTTCCCCCTCCAATCGCAGCCCAGCCTCGCCGGTCTCCCGGGGTTACAGAAACGCGTTAGTGCTCCCGCACCCCGCCCTCCTTCACCTCTTCCAGCCCCAGGCTTCATCTTGGTTCTCGCGAGAGGTGGGTGTCTGGCCTCTCCCACTTCCGGTTTATTGGTCCGCTGCGGCGGCCGCGGCGGCTCCTGGACCAGATGGTGCCGACGAGGTTCGCCGAGCTCCGGGGAGCGCCGGTGAGACCCAGGCCGCGGAGGACGTGGTTCTCAGGGGTCGCTGTTTGGAAGAGCCCTCTCACCCTGCCTGTGCCCCGAACTGTTGGTACCGCCGGGACTCTAGCCCGCCCCTTTCCAGCGTAAACACCGGGTCGAGCCGCGCCCACCGCCGGTCTGGCCTGACGGCCACTGCCCGCCCGGCCTCCTGCTAGCCGCGGTCCCCGCACCCTGGGGCTGCCCGGGCCCGGCCTAAGCCCGCAGGCGGTGGACACCCAAGAACTCGCCCTGTGCCGCCTGCGTGGAAGGGGTGCCGCAAGCCACCCGCGACAGATCGTGTTCCTGCTGGGCCTGAGCCCTGCTCCGAAGTCCCTGCTAACCAGGTCGCGGTCCCGTGCCCGCCACCGGGGGAAGCGCGGAGGGGGGAGCCCGTGCACTTGTCCCGTGCCCGGGGCTGGCTCACGTTAAGGGGAAAGACTGAAAGCCCCCCTGTTCTTGAAAGCTTTTGTTTCTAGAATGGAGACACATTCTCCGCGTTCTGTCTGTAGCCTGTAGATAATGTCATCACGGAGGGAAAGTTGGCCAAGTAAGCAATAGCCAAGTGGTTTGGGTTTTTATTTATTTATATTTTTGGCTAAATAATTCACTTTAGCTATGTGTTAGTAAACCATGAATTGACTAGAGCTTTATCGAGGTTGTTGGTAATTATTTTGTTTTATATTAACAGGACATTTACAGATGACAAATAAGTTCTTTTGTTACTAAGCCGTCAGCAATTATGGCAGTACCCTGGAAGAAAGCCCTTCTGATACTTCTAACATCCCAAGCACTGTCCTTAGTGAATAGCATTGAGGAGGAGGAAGTACCTGAAGAATGGATTCTCTTGCATGTGGTTCAGGGGCATATCGGAGCTGGAAATTATAGCTATTTGAGACTAAATCATGAAGGGAAGATAGTTCTTAAAATGAAAAGCTTAAAAGGTGATGCAGATTTGTATGTATCTGATACAACCCTTCATCCAAGTTTTGATGAATACGAATTACAGTCTGTAACTTGTGGCCAAGATGTTGTTTTCGTGCCCGGACATTTCCAGCGCCCTGTGGGAATAGGTATCTATGGACATCCATCTCACCTTGAGAGTGAATTTGAAATGAAAGTATATTATGATAGAACGGTTGTAGAATATCCATTTGGGGAAGCAACTTATGCCACAGATGGTAAAGCTACAAGCCAAAAGCAGCCTTATACACCAGAAGATACGTCTCAAGATGAAGAATCCATTGTTTGGACAATAATAATTGGCATTTTGAAACTAATACTTGAGATTCTTTTTTAACATCATTGGACAAACATACACTGGAATACAGTACCCTTAACCTGTGAAGTGGATTGTGGTTTGCTGTGAACATTGCTACTTTTTATGTTTCAGGAAATAGGGTTCAGGGGACCTTTTTTATGGTGGGTGGGGAAAAAAAGCCATATTTACTTTTGTATTGTAATTCCCCCCAAAATAAGAGCAGCAAGCACAAGATTTTTAGTTTTCTTTAAAGAAAGAAGAGTTCGTATAACTGGAGAATGTACAATAAAAAAAAAGCTTAGATTTCATTTAACAGTTTGTCAGGCATTCATTAAGTATGGCAGTAATCTTATGTAAAACAATTTGGAGTACAGATTTTATATAAAATTTGCAAAAATTGTATTAAAATTTAACTTTCTAAAATTTTTACACTACTTAAAGCAAACTACTTATTACAAAACACATTATAACGTGTAAGTTAAGATGATCAGTTTTTAAATGGAGATTAGTCCCGTATCTCTGTGAAATAAATCTCATTTACCCCCACACTGCCTAAGAAATAAATGGTACTAACTACATATTTTGCTGCACAGTTTCCAGGTAATTTACAAAGAAGAGGCATTAGCAACATTAAGTTGGTGGAGTAAAGCTAGAAATACCTTTGACCCCAGCATACACTTCCAGACTTTCTCAGGAACCACAGAATAAAGCAACAGTTCAGCTGTGATCAGAGTTATTCTGTACAATAACTGAAACTGTGCTGAGACTTCATGGAACCACAATTGTAAAACTGGAAGAAGCCTGAGAAAGTTTCTAGCTCAGAGAAGCTATGGAATTTCTAGGGAACCAAGATCACAAAGCTGGTTAGTATCAGGCCACTCCTACAGAGCCCAAGTCTCCATCCGGTTCAGTTTACTTTCCTTTACACCAGCTGTGTTAATTAAAATTAATTTTATTTACTATACATTTTAAAAGTTGATCATTGAGATTAATTTTATCTAAAAATTGCAATTTCCCTAATTTTATCCTGTTGTTTTGGGTATTTGCCTGTAGCACTGGACTACTGTTTGAAGACAGTTATAAAATCATAGTTGAACTATTAAATTGTACATTTATAACTAAATTCAAGTAGTAGTCCATAGCTGAATATCAAAAATGAGGGAAACTATAAGTTTAGGCTTTTTAATAAAATGTTATCAATTTCTAAAAATCAACTTTTTAAACATTCCATTGAATTTTCAGAAAGAAGGTGATTTTATATTACATAAAGTGATGTGTAGATTGTTAAAAAATTAGGCTTACAGAGAAGTATGCTATAACTTTTTAGAAATAAGTCAACTCATAGAACTTAAGTACATAGTTAAAAACTGAAAAATGCTTTATTGACAACAATATGAGGAAGTGTGTTTCACAAAGTGGTAAACTGACTGGCACCAAAATTTTCACAATGCAAATAACATCATCTGGGTAAAAACTGTAATTTTATCCCTCCTTGCTGGTTTTTCCCCTTCTGCCCCCTCTCCTGGGTGTTGGGGGAGCTCTTTGACAACAATCACAAATCCAGCGACCTAGGAGAAAAACTGTTGATTAATATACAAAGAATTTTACTTGTTAACATCTAATCAAAATATCTTTACAATCTCTTCTCTTGTATCAGTCACTAATGATACTCCTTGACACAAGGAGAAAAATGTGAAGCTGCCTTAAAGAAAAAAACACAATTTTCAATATAACATTAGTTTCTACAGCACAGAATTCAGTACAACAAATTATGCAAATGCATTGAATTACTGACTCTACCTTTGGTGCTACATTGTTGCATGGACCCAAAGGAATGTTTTAAACACTTTCAGAAATTACCATTCTTATAAAGCTCAATAAATAAAAATCCCAGAATAAGGCTTTTGATTGAATTTCAATTCAGTTGTCCTGCTCAACTTTCTCGTGAATTACTGATGGGCTCGTCTCCATAGTATTCTCAGTGCATGGCTACTCTATTTTTACAACATTTTAATACATCAAATACATAACTGCACCGTAACAGCACCACGCATGAATGCGCTGCATTCTATACTTGATAATATCAACTTACTACAGTACATGAAGTAATATACAAGTTGCTTAGCTCTTTAGTATAATTTCTGGACATCTTTACTTTCAGGCATATTTTACACTGAAATTTTTGGAAAATTATGCAGAAAAGTTTCAAAAATTACACGAACCTAAAAGAAAATTACACATGTATTTGTTTTAATTTGTATCAAGTTACCATAGTGAAAGGTGTATTATTTAATTTTTTGTCTACCCTAACACCATTTGAAGCTACTGTGCTGCTTCAATAAGGTATTCAAAATATATAAACGTAAAACAGTATTGTTTCATTACATTAGTATGAAGCTAAAGTATTAAACTATGCAAGTGAAAGTTTTCAAAAATAAAATTCACAAGGTTTTGAAACTGATACTCTTTCACTTTGGCCATTTCAGAATTGACATTTTTGAGTAACATTTTAGTGCCTAAATTCTACATTTCAGAATAGATTTCCAGAATGGTTTTAGTACACTATTTCTTTTATTTTGTCGGGTAAATTTCTAGTAATCCTTTAATAGAAATCTTACCAAATACACAGTTTAAACATAATTGCCTAAAATACTCCATGATAAATAAATGAATAATATTATTTGTTTAATAAGCAATCTTTATTTTATCACTGAATATTTTGGTCAGTTAAGTCACTGAAGTGGTCATTTTAGTACCTACTGAGTAAAAAGCACTAGACTTAGCACTGGAGGAGATACAAAGACAAGGCCTCCACCTTCAGAGTTTAATTACAATCTGCATGTTTCTACTTAGTCCTGAGCAATGCTGAAAGGTTCTATTACAACAGAATACTAAGATTGATTTTGGTTGATTACCTGATGGAATAGCACCGAGCCCCACACAAAAAGTGTGATAACCTCTGTCACATACATCACAGAACATCATTTCTTCTTCATGGTGGGGCTGTCCACATATAATGCATGTTTTACATTCCATGCACTGCCACGGGTAGGTCTTAATTATAGAAACAAGCTCCATAGTCATGTCCAGGCAAGAAGGGTGGCCTAAATCAAAACCAATATTAGTAATACGTGACACAAATTTCACATCTTTTCAATAAGTTTTATTAAAATACTCAACTATAAAAAAGAATGATTTTTACTGAAAAGCCACTATGTCAAGACTATCTTAAGGAAATGAAACTTTGTATATACTTTCAAAGTATTCTCTATACTTGATACTTCTAGCTCAATTAAGAGAACAAACTTTTTTGAAACAAGGAACATTGCATTTAAAAATTTAAGAGATATATCAATACTTACCACTATTATCACATTGGGAGCAGTGTATAAGTGATTCAGCCTTTCCTTTCTTGTTGGACTCCTTACCCTTCAGACAAATCCCACACATAGCATTTGGAATGACCTTTGGCTGGAAGGGTAGAAGAGGGCTATAAATTCATGCCAGAAGAACTTAGTATGGGTTTAAAAGGAATTTTAATGTATCTCCTTACTTTTACTTTTGTACGATATGGTTCAACACGCATAGATCTGCAACATAATATGATCACTGAGGTCTTGAATTTTAATTTTAATTTGATTGTAGGTTAATAATAAGATGCTCATGTTAAGACTGAATGTAGTAATTTACACTTCTCAAGTATCATCGAAACTAATTTGTATCAAGGATTTGAAGGAAAATATAATACAATGTTGCACTTTCCTCCTTCCAATTAACAATGTAAAAATTTTGGTAAACAAATAAAAATGTTATATGGAAATTATTCTTCCCATTGTAGAATAAAAAGTCTTAAGTTTTACAAAATTTCCAAGTTAATGATATTGCATGACTGGGTAATATCTAGGTTTTTTTTTTAGTATATATCCAAAATTAATTGTAATCAATATCTATATGAGAAACTAAATTACAAAATGAAACTAGGCTTCATTAATATACTGTCACTTGTAAAATGTCTCTTTATGTGAAAACTAGATTTTGTGGTTGGTCCCCTTGCATACTGCACAAATTCATTAAAATAAACTAAAAGGGAAAAAGGATTCACTTCTGTGTACCAAACATTTGGAAGGGAAAAAAATGAAATCTTCAGAAAGGCAAGGCTAGTGTTTTTAGTAACTTGTGATAAAAGCACTTAGAAAATGTGCCAGCAACACTTAACTTGCTTTCACAAAACGAATGAGAACAAAAAAATGTTTTTAAATGGTTCATCAATACACACAAAATAGTTTTAGTGCCAAAGTTTGTCCTACTTCACTTTATAATGCACAGTCCAATGACAAGTGTTGGGGACTGAAATATATAGTAATATATATACATATATACACACACATACACACACACACACACACACACACACAACCAGAATTCAAGCTGTGTTAGCTCTATTTTCATTCTCCTGCTGCAATCATACCCATAAAGCAGTAGAATGCAATTTAAATCTTTACCAATGTTTGTTGGTACCAAACAAACAAAGTCAGTTGAAAATAAAGAAACATGGTCCACATTCAGTGGGGGGAGAGGAAAGGCAAGGTGTGACTAAGTGGAAAAGGACAAAGCTGGTAGAGAACAAGTTTTTAAGCTTCAAAAAAGGGAAAGAAAATTATTACGTGAAAAACTGTTTAAGCCCCTTTTGATTAAAACTGTTCCAAATATGTCTTAAGTTTTTAATTCTCATTCATAAGACACCAAATACTCTGAGGAGATCCATATCTAGATATTCATTCCCAAATTTCCAATCTTAGGACAATTTTGAAAGACTCATTTTGTCACCTTCATAAGCTGTAAGGCCTGAAAAGTTTGTCCACTGCTTAAAAGCTCTTTTATATGTTATATTCCTTGGCAAAAGATGACAGAGGCATTCATAAGGAATTTTTTGCTTATTTATTTAAAAAAGCAGTCAACCTGTATTATACATAAATATAATAAAAACAATAAAATAAATCTAAACATTCACAAATGTCTCTACAAAATAATAAATATCATGGAAGTGAAAACATACATATAAAACTTTACTGTTACCTATTCTACATCTCCTCTATGTCTACCTTTATACCCTGGCTCCCCCCAACAAAAGGATAGTGTCACAGCTCCAACCTCAGTCTTGCAGTGTTTTACCCTCTGTTGTTACTGCTACATTCTAAGCATAAGGTTCTTGTATTTTCCTAAAGCAAAATGAAACAAAAACTCTAAAAATTAGCTAGCAAGTGCACTTCTCTAATCCAAATTCTAGTTCAGATATGATTGAGTCTGTAACTGCCATAATATATAGCAGGAAAATTCCCTCTCAATCCACCAAAGCTAAGAAGAATTTTGGTTACTGTACCTGTGTGCTACATGTACCAGGTATATTTATTTTTAATACTTGAATTTTAAAATAAGATACTGGCATAGTATTTCCATTCTCTCTAACATGTTTCACTAAAAACAGTGAAGTACTACCCCATAATATTAAGTTCTAAGAAAGGGTTCTTCAGTTATAGAAGCTCCTTTACAAAATAATGCAAAAGAAATAAAATGCAAA